TGTGTGTGTGTGTGTGTGTGTGTGTGTGTGTGTGTGTGTGTGTGTGTGAATGTATGTATATTTTGGGAATACCCTGTCACCTAGTTTTTCTGTAAATGTCCCTGAGTTTTTAGTTTTGCCATGCAGTTGCTGTTTTTGTTGTTGTTGTTGTTTTTATGTGAACATTTGGAAAGGCTAAAAAAATTCTACTATATCTGTTAATTTAGAGTCAATTTCAAATGGTAATCAACCAGTGTTCCTCAGTACCCTAGTCAATTGCTACCCAAAGAACCACTCTGTTAGGTGCCATATATATTGCATATGGAAATTTAAAGATACAAATTCTCTTTTAGAAAATAGACCTTTTTCCACTTCTCTATTCTGTCCATCACATTCTGTTTCATTCATTCAATGATTGGAGAGAGTCCCATTCACCCTTCCCTTACTACCCATCTTTATGTAGGCAGCTTACAAACATCAAAGAAAATCAAGTCCTGCGTTTCACAGAAAAGTTTTACACGGACTGTTGGTTTATGTTATATACTAGGCTTAAATCTGAATATACTGTGCCTGTATCTAATATTCAATTCCACATTCAAAATGAGATTTGGCACCCTTGAGAAAGTATTGCCAAGAATGGTCTAAAAGTCCTGAAGAAGTTCCCAAGCGAGACTTAGGTATTTTGGATTAGCTATGTCTGTGCACACAATGATTAATATTTTCTATCATAGAGAAGGGAAATATTTTATTCTAGGGAAGATATAAAAATAAAATCTTCTTTTTCAGTGGCTCTAAGTCTTATTAAATTTGCAGCTGTAAGGATGATGATATTTAGCTATCTTCCCAAAGTAAATGATCTGAACTAGACACATTTTTTTAGGATCCCTTTCACAGAGTAAAATATTGGAAGTTATGATAAAGTTCTGTTTTATTATTAGGTGTTAGACTTAATATATAGGCAATAATATGTGTGTTATATACACTCTGGTTATGTTTTGAAATATTGGTTATTTTGGAATAGTATTTGTTTGTCTTATTGTCTAATTCAATAGTTCTCAATCCTGGCTGGGCTGTAGAACTACCTAGACTTTTAGCAATGCTGATATCCTAGTTCTGGTCTCTGACTTAATAGATCTAGACTTGAGCCCAGTATCCAAGATTTTTAAGAACTCACCCATTGTTTTTAATATGTAGCCTTGTCCTGTCTAGTTCGTTCATAAACTTATGATATCCATTAAGTTTAGCTGGTTCCCATTAGCACAAATACTAGAACTATTTCCTTTAAAGCACAGTTAAAAAGAAACCAGCACGAACAATGAAAATGAAATAATTATATACATTAATGCCAGTTCTACTGAGCCTGGCGTCACGTGTAAATTTAACCAAAGGAACAAAACGGAGATTAAAACTACAGATCCAGAACTTGAACTAGGATTCCTAATGGAGATTAATATTTTCTTCAGCAGTCTGCCAGCTGAATCATTGTCTAATTAAATAGTTCAGATTTAGTGAGTTTGCATTTAAAGTGTTAGCAGATCCGAGAATGGGTAAAGCTAAAATGAGTTAGAATCTTTTCTGTAAATGGGAAGTTAAATTATCATAGTAATTTGATTAAATCATTTTTAAATCTCTCATGCTAAATCACATCCTTTAAAGAATAGTTTGAAGTCTTAATTGCTGTTTGTGAGCATATCTCTCTGCTATTTGTTCTTGCCTCATTTCCCATGACATCCTATAATATATCTCCTGCTGGGCAAGAGTAGTGGGAAAGGCAAGACTATGGGTAGGGCCGAGGTAACTGTGTAGCTGACTTCAAGCATTTAAAGATATGCCATGTCGAAAAAGGAAATTTATCCTGTATTGTTCTAGTGGTTAGAAACAGGACCAAATGATAGAATTTGGAGACAGATTTAGGAAAACTTAAAGAAGAAATTAATAATAATTAGTTTTACCTTTTATCAAGGAGAATACTCTACATACTTTTCATATGACTGGCAATGCCTTCATTAGGAATATTGTAAAGAAGTTGGCTGATGAAGATGGGAGTTTGAACAGGATGTGTTTAGAGGGAAATTCATCTCATTTTTTAAGGGAGTGCACATTTAGTGTTCTATATTCTAGCAGCATTATTAATTTGAAGCATCTTGAATTTAAACCTGAGTCTTACACATATTACCAGTGCCACCTTGCTTCTAGGGTTTGGGGAGGTAAAATGAGGCCACATTCACCTGAAATAGGTGCTTAATAAAAGGGAAATGTATTATTTTTATTCTGGTGTATTTTTGGTCTAGTTGGAAAATAGTTATTTCAAGTTGGTTTTGTCACTGCAGAGTATAATTCCCATTTCCTCCTTCCATCTTTTACTCTGTTTTCATGTAGAGAGCTAATTATTAGACCCAGCCTAAGTTGGGAAAATCCAACTCGTCTCTGTTCCCTTATGCACAAGGTCCTTATTACAGTCTTTTGTGTACCTGGAGACTCACCATGGTGTTTCCCCATACCTCCTGTTTTTCCTTCGGTTAGCACGTAAGTGCAAAAATAGAGAGAGAGAAAGAATATCAGAGCATGTTGCCATCATCTCTATGAATGTTTTTCTGTCCCTAACATTACCAACCCTTACACAACTTTAGAAATTATGTGTGTTTGTTTCTAAGAGACAGCACCATAGGAGGTGGATAAGATTGCCATGCTGAGAGGAACCAGACTGGAGAGAAGCTGGTTAGAAATAATCCACAGGGAAAGGCTAGGCGTATGTTGGGGAGTGACTTGAATCCCGCTCCAGGGCACACTTTCAACACTATTTCCCACTTTGGAAAAATTCCTTGTTTTTGCTCTACCAGGCAGAAATTGAGTCTTGAGCAGTAAATACTTATAAGCAATTTTATTCCAGATTATTCAAATTTTTTTTAAAGAGATGTCGTTAAACTACCTAATGTTAATAGTGATCAATTCACCAGTGATGTGGTGGAATGATTCAAAATGACAATGTGAATGAAAAAAAAAAAAAAAAAAAAACCTAAACAAAATACGAATAAATTTTAAGACATGCTACTGGTTATATCTATCTTTTAATTATTTTGCCATATTTCTTTTTTATTATATATTTAGCCACTTGCTTTTAAATTACATTCCCTCTCTCTTTTTGTTCATGTGATCTATGTTTGAATTGTATGAAAGATTAGGCTAACTACATATATCTTAGAGCTCAGCATTCTCAGAGAACTAGAATTATTAAACATGAAGAATCCCCCAAAGACTCCATTATGTGTAATTAACAGATAAACTGTCATCAGAATCAATAAAACGTGCTAAATGATTCAAACTTGTATATAATTAAGTGTCTGCTTTAGAGCTGGAGCTGTAACTTTTATTTTTTCCCCACATCTCACATTTCTCACAAGAATAATTTGGCAACCTTGTTAACCCTTTCTTTGCTTGATGGAATTAGATGTTCAAATTATTCATTTAAGGGTAAAGTTCACCTTTACAAATGTGAAAAATATTTCAGAACTCAGTGATCTGAAGACACCATTTGTTTTTCATCAGGGAAGTAGACTATGGAAGGACGTTTTAATGAACTGATACTACAACTTTAAACATCCTAAAAGGATAAATAATGTATTGTGATTTCTGTATAGTGCTAGATTCAGTGTATTCACATGGAGTTCTTAGGAACTTAGTCATCAATTTTTTCCCCTCTTTGGGAAATACTGGCTTTTCCAGGCAAGATCGGAATTTTAAACAACCTTCCCCCACACAGCACTAAGATAATACTTTTAATAGATGGCCTTCCATGGTTGTTTGTTGAGTGTGTGAATATATACCTGGATGAGACAATGAATAAAATAGTCAAGACTGTAATCTGTTAAAAGAAAGCCTTCTCTTGCTCAGCCTGAGGAGGAAAAATACACATTTTAAATCATAGATCTTTTCTAATAATTTCCATCTTCTAAGCTAGTATTAGACATTATGTAGGGAAATTTAGAAAGAAGTAGAGACTGAAGAAATGTGAGATTCTGAACAAATCACAGTTGCAAGCTTAGAGAAGTTCAAAAATAATAATTAATTGAATAATTTTATAACTCTAGTCTACATAGGTTTGTTATGATTCATATAATTACTTATATCTTTTGCTTCATTGCACAGACTCCATGCACATAGAAGATGTTGAAGCCGTTCAGAAGCTTCAGGATGTCTTACATGAGGCGCTGCAGGATTATGAAGCTGGCCAGCACATGGAAGACCCTCGTCGAGCTGGCAAGATGCTGATGACACTGCCACTCCTGAGGCAGACCTCTACCAAGGCGGTGCAGCATTTCTACAACATCAAACTAGAAGGCAAAGTCCCCATGCACAAACTTTTTTTGGAAATGCTGGAGGCCAAGGTCTGACTAAAAGCTCCCTGGGCCTTCCCATCCTTCATGCTGAAAAAGGGAAAATAAACCCAAGAGTGACGTCAAAGAAACTTAGAGTTTAGTTAACAACATCAAAAATCAACAGACTGCACTGACAATTTAGCAGCAAGACTATGAAGCAGCTTTCAGATTCCTCCATAGCTTCCTGATGAGTTTCTTTCTACTTTCTCCATCATCTTCTTTCCTCTTCCTTCCCACATTTCTCTTCCTCTTTATTTTTTCTCCCTTTCTTCTTCCCTCCTCCCTTATTTCTTTGTTTCTTTCATTCCTAATTCCCATTCTCCTTTATTTTCTTCCCATCTGCCTGCCTGCCTTCTTTCTTTTCTTTGCTACTCTCGTTCCTCTCTTTACTCATCTTCCTCCTGTTTTCTAAATTTTAAATAGCTTTAGTTGTTAAAAAAAAAAAAAAATCCTTCCGTCCCCCTTTCCTTTTTCTTTCTTCCCTTTTTTCCTTTTTCCCTTTCCCCTTTCCCCTTTCCCCTTTCCTTTCCTTCTGATCTTCTTTCCATCTTTCTTTTTCTTCCTTCTGCTGCTGAACTTTTAAAAGAGGTCTCTAACTGAAAAGAGATGGAAGCCAGCCCTGCCAAAGGATGGAGATCCATAATATGGATGCCAGTGAACTTATTGTGAACCATACCGTCCCCAGTGACTAAGGAATCAAAGAGAGAGAACCAACGTACCTAAAAGTACAGTGCAACATATACGAATTGACTGAGTGCAGTATTAGATTTCATGGGAGCAGCCTCTAATTAGACAACTTAAGCAACGTTGCATCGGCTGCTTCTTATCATTGCTTTTCCATCTAGATCAGTTACAGCCATTTGATTCCTTAATTGTTTTTTCAAGTCTTCCAGGTATTTGTTAGTTTAGCTACTATGTAACTTTTTCAGGGAATAGTTTAAGCTTTATTCATTCATGCAATACTAAAGAGAAATAAGAATACTGCAATTTTGTGCTGGCTTTGAACAATTATGAACAATAATGAAGGACAAATGAATCCTGAAGGAAGATTTTTAAAAATGTTTTGTTTCTTCTTACAAATGGAGATTTTTTTGTACCAGCTTTACCACTTTTCAGCCATTTATTAATATGGGAATTTAACTTACTCAAGCAATAGTTGAAGGGAAGGTGCATATTATCACGGATGCAATTTATGTTGTGTGCCAGTCTGGTCCCAAACATCAGTTTCTTAACATGAGCTCCAGTTTACCTAAATGTTCACTGACACAAAGGATTAGATTACACCTACAGTGACTCTGAGTAGTCACACATATAAGCACTGCACATGAGATATAGATCCGTAGAATTATCAGGAGTGCACCTCTCTACTTGGGAGGTACAGTTGCCATATGATTTCTAGCTGCCACGGTGGTTAGGAATGTGATACTGCCTGTTTGCAAAGTTACAGACCTTGTCTCAGAAGGAGCTGTGAGCCAGTATTCATTTAAGAGGCAATAAGGCAAATGCCAGAATTAAAAAAAAAAAAAAAAAAATCATCAAAGACAGAAAACGCCTGAGCAAATTCTAAAACCTAATCCATATAAGTTTATTCATTTAGGAATGTTCGTTTAAATTAATCTGCAGTTTTTACCAAGAGCTAAGCCAATATATGTGCTTTTCAACCAGTATTGTCACAGCATGAAAGTCAGTCAGGTTCCAGACTGTTAAGAGGTGTAATCTAATGAAGAAATCAATTAGATGCCCCAAAATCTACAGTCGCTGAATAACCAATAAACAGTAACCTCCATCAAATGCTATACCAATGGACCAGTGTTAGTAGCTGCTCCCTGTACTATGTGAACAGTCTTATTCTATGTACACAGATGTAATTAAAATTGTAATCCTAACAAACAAAAGAAATGTAGTTCAGCTTTTCAATGTTTCATGTTTGCTGTGCTTTTCTGAATTTTATGTTGCATTCAAAGACTGTTGTCTTGTTCTTGTGGTGTTTGGATTCTTGTGGTGTGTGCTTTTAGACACAGGGTAGAATTAGAGACAATATTGGATGTACAATTCCTCAGGAGACTACAGTAGTATATTCTATTCCTTACCAGTAATAAGGTTCTTCCTAATAATTAATTAAGAGATTGAAACTCCAAACAAGTATTCATTATGAACAGATACACATCAAAATCATAATAATATTTTCAAAACAAGGAATAATTTCTCTAATGGTTTATTATAGAATACCAATGTATAGCTTAGAAATAAAACTTTGAATATTTCAAGAATATAGATAAGTCTAATTTTTAAATGCTGTATATATGGCTTTTGCTCAATCATCTCTCAGATGTTGTTATTAACTCGCTCTGTGTTGTTGCAAAACTTTTTGGTGCAGATTCGTTTCCAAAACTATTGCTACTTTGTGTGCTTTAAACAAAATACCTTGGGTTGATGAAACATCAACCCAGTGCTAGGAATACTGTGTATCTATCATTAGCTATATGGGACTATATTGTAGATTGTGGTTTCTCAGTAGAGAAGTGACTGTAGTGTGATTCTAGATAAATCATCATTAGCAATTCATTCAGATGGTCAATAACTTGAAATTTATAGCTGTGATAGGAGTTCAGAAATTGGCACATCCCTTTAAAAATAACAACAGAAAATACAACTCCTGGGAAAAAAAGGTGCTGATTCTATAAGATTATTTATATATGTAAGTGTTTAAAAAGATTATTTTCCAGAAAGTTTGTGCAGGGTTTAAGTTGCTACTATTCAACTACACTATATATAAATAAAATATATACAGTATATACATTGTTTTCACTGTATCACATTGAAGTACTTGGGCTTCAGAAGTAAGAGCCAACCAACTGAAAACCTGAGATGGAGATATGTTCAAAGAACGAGATACAATTTTGTAGTTTTCAGTTTAACTCTCAGCATTTCAAAAGAGTAAGTATCTCACAAATAGGAAATACAACTAAAACGTAGATTTAAAAAGAACTGCACGGGCTTTAGGGTAATTGCTCATCTTAAACCTCACTAGAGGGAAGTCTTTTCAAGTTTCAAGCAAGACCATTTACTTAATGTGAAGTTTTGGAAAGTTATAAAGGTGTATGTTTTAGCCATATGATTTTAATTTTAATTTTGCTTCTTTTAGGTTCGTTCTTATTTAAAGCAATATGATTGTGTGACTCCTTGTAGTTACACTTGTGTTTCAATCAGATCAGATTGTTGTATTTATTCCACTATTTTGCATTTAAATGATAACATAAAAGATATAAAAAATTTAAAACTGCTATTTTTCTTATAGAAGAGAAAATGGGTGTTGGTGATTGTATTTTAATTATTTAAGCGTCTCTGTTTACCTGCCTAGGAAAACATTTTATGGCAGTCTTATGTGCAAAGATCGTAAAAGGACAAAAAATTTAAACTGCTTCTAATAATCCAGGAGTTGCATTATAGCCAGTAGTAAAAATAATAATAATAATAATAAAACCATGTCTATAGCTGTAGATGGGCTCCACATCTGTAAAGCAATCAATTGTATATTTTTGTGATGTGTACCATACTGTGTGCTCCAGCAAATGTCCATTTGTGTAAATGTATTTATTTTATATTGTATATATTGTTAAATGCAAAAAGGAGATATGATTCTGTAACTCCAATCAGTTCAGATGTGTAACTCAAATTATTATGCCTTTCAGGATGATGGTAGAGCAATATTAAACAAGCTTCCACTTTTGACTGCTCTTTTGTATTGTGTTTCTTTTTTTTTCCCCACTAAAGAACCAAATCGACAAACACTGCCCTTTGTTGCTTCCATTCAAAGAGTATCTCTGAGTACCTGTTCCCTAAAAATAAAGTCAGAGTTTAAATGAGTGCTATATAAAGGCTTGTCAGAATGAATTCTAGGGTGCCAAGAGACATTTTGCATATTTAAGAGTATGCAAAGTGTCTCATGGCACATTAGAATTCATTCTGACAAGCCTTTATATAGCTCTTATTTAATCTTAAAGCATCTCCACATCATCCTGCATTACTCAAAATCATCGCCTCTATGTCAATGTCATAACAGAAAACTCTCCCCCTATTTTAAGATCATATTAAAACCTGCTAGAGATACCCATTATTTCCCTCTATCAACAATTAAATCATGTGCTTGCTCCGAGCTCATCGGCAAGCTGCAGGCTGTGTGTAGCAGCAGTGGAGTTGCTGACCAGATTTCCTGAATGGGAAGTCAACAAGCAGAGCTTAGAGATTGGTGTGAATTAGGAGGGGGAGCTGTCCTCGAATTCGAGAGGGTTAAACAGCACTGCTGACAGCAAATGGCCTCCTCTTGCCTTTTACACTCAGAGAGGTTATAGCCTTGCTGCTCAGGGTCAAGTTGTAGCTTCCACTGGACCCTCCTGGAGCCATCACCAAAGTGCTAATATGTGCTTTCTTGGCTTCTCTGCCTATCTTGAGGGTATTTTGTCATTGTGTTTGCCCACCATATTTCTCACCTTTCAGAGGTGGTTGATTCTCTAGAGAAGCAAGCTGATGACACAAAGGCCACTAAACTGAATTGCTTTTAGGGGCACGGGATTACCTAAATGACTAAGATGCACTAGCAAACAGGATAGCTCAGTATTGTCTTTATATATTTTATTATTATTATACTTTGAGTTCCAGGGTACATGTACATTTAATGTCCTTTGAGTGGCAACAGTTCAACATAAAATCTGACATGTTTTACTTTTGATATTTTTTAAGTGCTTGGATGGGACTGAAACAATGCAAGATACAAACCGAAAAGGAAAAATCGTGTCTGTAATCTTCCAACGAGGTCCTCATTGTAAAATATGTTAGGCACACACACACACACACACACACACACACACACACTTTTAAGAATTCCTATTAGAACTGTCCTGCTGTTTTTATAATTTAGAATTCTTACAGGACAACTTTTCTGGTGCTGACATATTTATCATGGATGCCTCAGGTGTAAAAGGAAATGAAGTAGGATTTTGACATTTCAGCACATTGTTTCTCAATATATAAACAACAAGTACCTCTGACAAATGCACTATATATTTGTTTCAAGGGATCAGTTTTATTTTTATCAGTTGTTTATAAGCAATTGATTTTTAAGCCAGCGGTCCCCAAATTTGTCTGCATATTGAAATCACCTGGGGAGTGTCAACATTCCTGATCCTCATGTCCCACCTGCAGAGATTGTGGTTTCATTGATCCAAGATGTGGCCTGGGTTTTGGAATGCTTCCAAAAGATCTCCAGGTGATTCCAATATGAAAATGAGATGGAGAAACGCTTTAAATTTTTATACTTTTCTCAAATAAACCAAAAATAATGAACCTTTTCATATTGGTTCTACATTTTTGTTAGGGTTTCTTTTTAATAACAAGACAAAAATACTTAACCTTTTTTTCCTTACCAAACCAATGAAAGGCACTTTGATTGTTTTGACCTCCACAAAACACATGAAGAATACATTTTATTTGATAACTTCCAAGTCACATCTTCCTGTTATATCTCCGTATAAAGATGGAGATGGATGGTGACTCAAAAACTTGTTTGCAGAATATCTCACAACCCCCTCACCCCACCACCACTTTTTAAATCCTACTCATTTGGCCTATTTATCTGCTTTAGAATTAATTTAGGTGGAATCCAAAAAATCTGTCTTTCCCTATTGACAAACAAAAGAGCAACAAAATTAGAAAATTTTGATTTCTTGGAAGAACTTCTCTTACCTATATTTTTCAAGTTGTTGATTTAGGTGAGAGGTAGAAATGAGATAGAATACTTCATCCTGGAACCTCTGCAAAAAACTTGAGGTGCACTTTGCTTGTTATAAAATTAACTTGTGATTAACTTGTGAAAGAAAACAGAGCTATGCTTAAGGCTTTTGTTTCATCTACAATGGTTTACATCCTGAATGGAGAGGACCACAGACCAATAGATAAGAAAGTGTCTAAGTCAGTGCATCTGGGCTTTCAAATCTCTAAATCTAGCTTCTCATGCCCCCTGGTAGTGTGGAAATAACAAAATGAAACAAGTAGCAGTAGATGGATTGTGTACTGCATCTTATTGTGAAACAAATCGAAAAGAAAGGAATTTCAAAATATAATCCTGCTTTCCCAGGAGTATTTGTCTGTTTCTTCATGAAGTTAAAGGTCTGAAATAATGTGACCATCAGGGGCTCAATGTTGCATGTCCATGCCAGTTGGTCCAAGGGCTTGTTATGATGGTAATGACCTACTGAAACGTGAGCTTGGATTGCACAATACAATTGCTACCAACTCACCCGCTGGGAGAAATATTTTATTATTGTCAAATATCCTCCACAGAGATTTGTTTTGCCTGTTTCTGTTTAAATTAAATTCAAAGCAGAACTGCATTCCTATTTCTCTGGAGTATATTTCAGATAAACTAGTCTCAAAATTTAGGATTCCTGGCTACTTCAAATTTGTTTATTAGCAGAAAAATTACAATAGGTGACACCACAGCTGCAGGAATATTATGATTGCAGCAACACAAGAGATTTACATACTGAGTCTGCAGCCTGAAAGCAAGAACACACTTTTTCATTACAGGCATCAGCCAGATTAATAATGAACCATTTCATCTATTGTACAATCTTTAAAAAAAGTACCAATATAGTCATGTATTGCCATAACATGTCACATAATTTCAAACATGAGAAACTTTGCTCAAAGTAAGAAGTGTTTTTGATTTAAGATCATGAACCAAAAGTGTATATGTGTGTATATTAAAAAAAGAAACAGAGTAGACATAGCAGAGCCCATGAATGAAAATGCTCTTTAAGTATAATATGTATTTAACAGTATTATTTTTTAAAAGAACTGAAAACAGGCTGTTGCCTGTAATCCTGGAGCTTTGGGAGGCAGAGGTGGCAGGATTACTTGACCCCAGGAGTTCAAGACCAGCTTGAGACTCCATCCCATAAAAAACTAAAGTTTAAAAAAAAAAAATTGAAAACAATGTAGTGGAGTATAGGGGATTATTTGGATAATTTTGCCAGAAGTCCTATATCACAACTTTGATGAAGGATTCTGAATCAGTTAAGCTTTAGACTACAAATTTTGTTACATGCAATCAAACGAGAAATGGACCCTACTGTGAGAAAAAAAAAAAAAAAAAAGTGCTCGGTGTTGTGAAAATAATAGTGGCCTATGTGTTTTGCAGTGGGCTGAACTTTGGAGAGCTGATTTTAGGAAATGCAAACAAACTTTTGGGAGGGGTCGCTAAAAGGGCCTAACAGGAAAACACTTCAGACTAGCGGTAGCATCAAATCACACTATTCACACTCCAATTCAATCTGCCATTCTCAGTCGAATTCCACAGTTTTACTGGGAAGTGAAGAACTGTCTGCTATTTAAAAAAAGTGCATAGAAAGCTAAAGTCTTAAGAGGAATTTCCAAAGTGAAGTCTATAGCCATGCAAGTGTTAACTTTTTCCCTTAAAATATTGGCTTTTTTTATCGTTACAAATGAAGAATACTAGTGATTAATACTAAACACTATTTTGCAGGTATTTTTGTAATAATCTCTCTGAGATTCTTTATCTCCACTGGACTTTTATTTTGCCTGGGTCTTCCTTTTGAAATCAGAATGAATTGACCATCCCTAATGTACCACATTTGTTCATGCTTATAAATCAAAAGAATTTTGTGGCCTATTTTTAAATTGCACATATAGAAAAAAAGCCACTTTCTCCACAGAAATAAGTACGTAGTTCAGAGTAATTTCTGGGCTGGTTATTAAGTAAATAGGTGTTTAATATGAGTATGTTTTTACACACAAGGAATTCTATGACACATGACTTACTTGTTTGGGTTTAATAAGATTTGGTGGTGCTTAAATATACTAGGGAAAGTGATAAAGAGAAACAGTATGCCATACTGGTTACATGCATAAACTGAGTTTTTAATGTATAGGTTCAAAGCCAACTCTGCCACTAACTAGCTGTGTGATGTTATTCCTAGTTAAGTATATTCAATTGCTTAGATAAATGGGGATAAATACACTATTGAGGGGTTGTTATTAAGATTAATTTAGATAGTTTAGGTAAATACTTTGTATCTATTTTAAAAGTTCAATATGTTGAAAACGTAATTTCTTTCTTCCTCTTTATGTCTTTTCCAAGAGAGGCTAGATGATACTCCAGGATAATCTAATTCAAACTGGGAGAAAAGCCTTTAGGGCAGGGGAATAATGCAGGTGCTTGGGGTGCAGATGCATAGGAGGTTGCTTTGGGGAGCTTCTCTTGAGTGGGTATTAAAATAGTATAGAAACAGGGTTGCCCTGATGCACATTGCAGGTTCAGCCAGAAACCAATTGTGGGCCTGTGTGCCAGACACTATGCTGAGTTCTTTAAATACATTATACCATTTAATAGTTCAAATTTCTTTATGAGGGAAATGCCATTAATATCTTCATTTTATAGATGAAGAAAAGGAGTCTCAGAGAAGTTAAATAACTTGCTCAAGGACCAAATAATTAGTACACGAATCAACTAAATTAGAACGCAGCTTGTCTAGCTCCTGAACCTAATATCTTAAAACCCTGACCATGTATTTAGCAGTTTCTTGAACACTGAACGATAGTACTTTATTTTTAAAGTTTGAATAAGTGGAACACAGAGTGAATTAATTCCATTGCTTAGATCAAGAAATACTATCTCATTCCCTCATGTCTCTTTCATTCCTGCGATGTCTCTGTGTG